TAAATAAAAATTAGATAATTTTTAGTCACTTGACAAATTTTTGTGGTGCCCATGACATAACTTGGACCTGCTCGGTGTAACTGTTATGAACACAATCCTCATCGACACCGTTGATAGACACGTGGATTGTAAAGTGATATTTAAAATTTGTATCCTCAATAAATCTCCTGATTTCAAACTCACTCCACACAAAATTTGAAATTATGAATTTGAACTTAACAATTTAGACCATCAACTAGTTTTGAACGAAGAAGATGAGTGTTATGTACTTATGTGCACTCACTACCCTATTGGTTTCTTTTCTTTTTTTTTCTTTTTTTTTCCTTTAATTATTTGGAGGAAAATATGCTACTTAAACCTATTATCACCTAAATGCAAAAAATGTCAAGTACAATTAGTATTTTTCTCAAATAAAATTTAAGGTAAATTTGTTAAAGAGATTCAATAATTATGGTTAGCGATTTGTCTTCTTTAAAAAAGTAAAGATAAACAGTAATAATTGCAAGTTGGCTATTTGGAAAAATTACCCAAATGGGGATCAATCACATTCTTGTAAATTGGAGGTTAAATATACTCATCCAAACAACAGGGGGCAAATGCAATTTTTTTCATTATTACCATATAGGTTGCAATAAGCTCAAATTCATACTTGACAAATTTTGGATCAAAGGGGAGGATTATAGTGATCTAAGGGAATTAGGATTATAATATGCAACTCGCTAAAGGTGTTAAGTGCATAAGTGGCTTGGTTATGGCCATTGAGGTTATTGAGAAGGTCACGCTACTCTTTTTGCTTTGTTTTTTAAAATACTGATTTTATTTAATTTAGTAGTTAAAATATTAGTAATTATAATTATTAATTAATTAATAATAAAATATTTAATATTTATTATTTAACAAACTAAAATTAATATATAAATTAATATTTTTAATTAATACTATAATTTTTTTTTTAAAAAAAGTGGCAAAGAAACAAGCTCCAAACCCGGCCAAAAAAAAAGAAAAAATGCACATTAAACTAATAGACTACCAGTTGACTTGAGGGCTAGGTGCAATTAATAGTTTAATACTATAAATTTTTTTTTGAATATTTTGACAAGGAGCGAGTTTTCATAAGAAAGGGGGAATGCACCGACTGACTAACTGATTAATGCTGGTAAGCCTCGAATGCCAGGTGCGTAATTAATACTATAATTAAGTATTAATAAAAAAAAATTTTAATTTGTGTGGCCTAACAATCTAGTGAGTAGCCTAACAATCTAGTGAGTAGCCTTATCCCCTACCGCCGTACAGTAGATTAGCCCGCAAATTAACAAAATGGTGTTCTAAAGACAATGAATGCAATTGCGCACGTGCCATTGAGTTTAATTTGACTAGGAAAATACCCCACAGGTGTTATTTTTAGTAAATCAGCAAGGTATTCTTTCCATATAATTATTACACAATAGCTATTTACATTATCCTACGCATACTTAGGGGGTTACCTAAATCTGCCTAAAATGATATAATTATAATATTAGGTCATATTATAAATTTATAACATAATATATTATTATATAATTAATTTTTTATTTAAAATTTTATTTATAATATTATATGCATATATTTATTTATACATCACACTCATTAATAACATGATTGTAAATTTATAATTTTATATAATATTGTGACTATTATATTGTTAGAAATTTAATTGCTGCAATCAAAATTAATGAATAATAATACTAACTAAATTCTTAACATTTACAAAAAATCACAATACATATATAAAATTAGTACTTATCAGCCTTATTTTTTAAAAATTAGAAAAAAAAATTATTTTAAAATTACATTATTTTAATAAAGTATTACAAGAAATGACAAAAAATACTTTAATTCATGCTTTAAAAATATGATATTTTAATTTTTTACAATGGGAGTTTATTGAAATAATATAGTTTTGAGATAATTTTCTTCTAATTTTTAGAAGATACGGCGGATAGGCGGATATGTATTATATAGTAAAGATCCACTTATACATAAATCTTATACTTTACACTTACATAATATCTTAGTTATTCATATCTTCATTTTTAATAGTTGATATTTATTCATATTTATTAAAAAAAAATTATTTTTTTCATCTAAAAAGTTATGACAAATCTCAACCATTAAAAGTGAAAAAATAAATGATTAAAATTTTATGTAAAGCATGGTATATAAAATTTAAATGTAAATAGACCTCTATTATATATATACACTCCTTCTATTTATTTTTAGTATATCTAGTTTAATTTATTAACTTTTCAAACATGAATTTTAAATAAAAATTTTAACAATTTATATGAACAAAAATTAAATTTTTTTTTTTTTTATATGAAGTTCTTGTTATATACTTTTATATAATAAAATAATTTTAATTATTATTTATATAATATATTAAATTTTTATCTAAAATTTATATTCAAAAAATTAAAAATTAAAATAAATTTACTAAAAATAAATGGAGGGGCTCATTTTTTTAACATCTTTCCTTTATCATTTTGTGTTTCATCATTATCCACAGTGCTTCTACTTTTGTGGGAACCTTCGTTACAACAAACATAAATACGACCCTCTAATTCTTGACTTTGAGAACCTGTTCTCCTTGATTGAATTCGAATTCCAAAGCCATTTGCCTCAGCAAAAGCTCTATAAAAGTCTTCAGCACGTGTATACTGTTCAATGAGTTAAATTAATTCCATTCCAACAAACAGGCGTGGATTTTCATCCACAAGATTAGGCAATATTAATTATATTCTCTGATCTGTTTGGTAAATTAATTAATGCAACTAACAACCGGCATGACTTCGTTACTCACCTATGTGATATGCTTGCAAATCACCAACAAATTACGTATCCTTTGATAAGAAAGTCTTCATGGTGAGTTTATATGATATTTGAAAATTAAAACAATGAAAAGATTGAATGATATTATTAATGAAAATAATTCACAAAATTTTTCCCATTTTAGTCTACACGAATTATACAAATCAAACTTATGGGTTTGCTTTTCTTTTTTTTAATCTTGATCTCTCATACCCATAAAAAAAATACAAAATTGAAGGAGATAAAAAGGAAGAAAAAGAAACTATTAACCCTAGAAATCCATCCGTAAGAATTAACCAATAAGATCTTAAGAGAAGTTGAGCGTGGGAAGCACAGGTTTGCCACTTGTGAAAACTAAAAAACAAGTTTGAATTTCATGGGTAAGAAAGTGCATGATTGCCCTGCCGCTAGAAGATAGAAAAGGCTTAATAAAAAGGATAAAGAAAAAGAGCAACTGACGGTGGGAAGGAGAGAGATATAATAATAAACTAAATATTGGCGGGAGAGATGTAATAAAATAGAAGTAAAAAGTTGGAAAGAGACAAAAAGAAAGAATATATAAAGAGAAAATATATTAAAAAAAGAGATAAATAGTGAACAAAATTTTTTTTGTTTTTGAAAATAAATAGTGAACAAATTATAGTCACTGGTATTGAATGGATTGAGTGGGTAAGGTTGTAGGTAAGATTTGAATGTAACAAAAGTCTATAAATAAATTAACTATATATATTTATTATTAGAATATTTTTAAATTAATTTTTATGTATTTAG